CCCCCCCCCCTCCTCTGAATGAATGCTTTATTCGAGTGTCTGTACTAAAATAACGATAAAAACATTAAATGGAGACTCATTGACTCAACTTCAGCTTGTATGTATAGTTTAAAAATCTGAATACTATTTTAATACTATTTTAACATTTGCAGGTCGTGTTGGGGTAAAAATTGTTTCAAAGAAAATTCGCCAAGCTGTTGGGAAAGCCAATCGTAGACATCAGGTAGTAATTTATAATACTGTACTAAATTTGGTTTTCTTACATGTAAGTGAGTTCTGGTTTTCACATGGTCCAGCTTATAACCCGAGTGAATGTACGCTTCAGTTAATTTAAGCTGTCATAAGTAAGTATTTCAATCAAGTTTAATCATGAATTGTAACTACACATAGAAGTTTGATTATCAAACTGTCATGTACATGTACATGTGTGTAAACTTAATGCACTAGCACTGGTTGTCAAGTTCGTGACATATGGCAACCCTAAAAGTCAGTTTTGATGACAGACTACTTGTTTACATGCATGTTGTGTTTCTGATCAGCCATGACTAATATTATTATTTTAAATCAATTGCCAACTCTGCAGAGAATTATGTGGTAATTTCAAATGATGAACAATATTTAGTGGTGGTTTTGATGAGGTTTACAAATAACAAACTAGGGCTATAATGTACATGTAAGTGTTGTGCAGGCAGAAAAATAATACCAAGTTAGGTTAGGTTAACTAATGGCCAATAGTAGTGCTCATTGTATTTGAATGTAAGGTATTGTTTCACTGTGTTTATGGCAATGGAGTGGTGGTGAATGGGAGAATTCTCTTAAGAAATGATAACTTTGAAAGTTTTGATTTTTTGCAGATAATGTAAAAGGTTCTAAAGTGTCATTGTCCATGACTTTTGTTTAGATGTTGTTTTCAATTTTATTACAGGCAAAACAAATAAGAGAGAACAGAAAAGAGGAAGTACTAGAACAGAGAAGGAAAACAGGAAAGCAAGGAAGCCCACCACATCTTATTGTAAGTAAACCTTTTGGTCTAATGTCTTACAGTATTTCAGAAAAGATCCTGAATATCCAGGATATTAAGCTCCAGGGTGTTGGCATTCATATGAGTGCTAAATATTTGACTACCAAACTGAGTTTTAACAGTTACGTATGTGTTCCGAAGTGTAATATTTATAGAACTATTACCAGTGTGATGTCATTTCTCTCATAATGTTTGCATGGTTTCATGTGTGATTAAACATTAGAATATTTCAATTTCTCTAAGGCAATTATTCCATTATCATCCAACTGTGATGCTGGGCAGGCCGTGCAGTTATTTAGTGAGTGTGATAGTGATGGGTTACTTTATCCTTCAAGGAACACAACAACCTTAGTGTGAGTAGAGCCAGCTCAGAGGTAACCACATGTATGGGTGCTTGCCTCAAAGTCCTTATTTTAGAAAATGGACTTTTTAATGAATTCGTAGTAATTTATTACTGTAAGTTTTATGTATGTACTGTAAGCAGAGTTACCCTCTGTACTCTGGGCTTAAGTTGTAAGGTTGACTCAAGTGAGCACTCAGTTTCCTTGAATTCCTTGTGGCACAGGGAACAATAAATTGGCCCTCAATTTGCTCTGTAGTCTATATGTGATACAAATAGTTTGTATGTATGGAACAAAATTAATGTCTCAAAACTGTTGTAAAAAAAGAATGTGCACAACTTCAAATCAGAAATTGTCCTAAAGTTTGTTATTCTTTTGGCCAGACTAGAGTCACATGACAACAACAAAATGAAAGTGACTTTCAGTTTGCTTTCAAATTATATATGAAAGAACAACAACAATCTTTAAAAATCTTTATTTGTACTCTCTCACACTTTGATACTAATTAAACAAAAATACTAATTGAGAATGGTTGTGGGATGTTGTGTACCAGTTCTGTAAATATCAGCGATACAAAGTAGTCCAGCATTTGAAGCTGTCAGTTGAAGCTGGCCAAAACTATGTTGCCAACCTAGTCATGAGCATTCTTTGGCTTTTACCTGTACTCTTTTCCCTTAATATCTATACAGTTAATGTAGTCGTTCAGGGTTCACAAAAATGCCCCCGGATAACATTCTTGGCCTGACATCTTATTTATAACCTTTATTTACCCTTGGCAATGTTTATACCACAAGTGCTAGTGGGGCCGAGCAAACAACTGAAACAAATAATTCAAATTGAAAATAACATTGTTAAGAATCCCAACGTCTTCCAATTTTACAGCTCAACGCTGCCTTTGGTCCATTTCTGTGATAAATTCCATGCCAAAATTTTGATTTGTGTGACTTGTGTAGGCCAGGGCTTTATTAGGGTAACTACATCCAAGTGCTTTATGGGGCTGGCTCTAAAAAGCAGGTGTGGCAGCTTGTCACAAATGTTACAGTGGTGTATTTTCAAAGCATGAACATTTAGTGATCAGCAAGGTATCTTTTTCAACAGTTCTGAGCAACTCAAGCAAAGATTTTCATTCCTTCAGTTGAAGTATAGGGACTTGTACTCTGTTCTGGATGCAGCAAAGGTTTGTTCAAAATTGGCTTTAGTTAGAACTAATGATTTTAGTAATCATAATGCAATGCTTATAAGGTTGGTACATACTGAATTACTTTAGTTACATGTAAGGTATCAAATTTCCTTGAAATATTTTTGATTGGTGTAAACTTGTTTGTCAGGTTGCTGATTCTCTGCTGTTTCTTCTCTCCGCCACACATCCAGTGGATTCATTTGGTGAGAAGTGTCTGTCGTGTATCTTTGCGCAAGGCTTACCAACATATTTTCTTGGATTGCAGGTACAATGTTTGTTAAATATCAGTTGTAAGCCTTTACAGGTTTTAATAACTTTCTTGCTTAGTGTCTGTGACCTTGAATACAGTGTACATGTATGTTGAAATTGTTTGAAATTCTGAATGTTGTTATTGTATGCTTGTTTCAATCTACTGCATGTGTACATATGTTTCTTTAAGGGTTTGGAGAAAATATCAACAAAGAAAAGGAATGATGTAAAGAAACAAGTTCAAAAGATAGTAGAAAAAAGGTATGCTAAATTTTAGTTTTTGGAGATGTAATACTCAGCATTTTCAGCTTAAATTATAGTAAAAAGGGTTTAATCACTAGCTGTTAGACTTTGATTTCAGTTTTTTTTAAGCTAACCATAAATAATGTAAAGGATGCTCTGAAACCAAGGATAAACAAATNCAGTGATAGTGAGCAGTCCATGGTAATGATCTCTCTGTTTGCTGAAGTCGTTTGAATATGAAAATGCTTTCTTGTTTGTAGCTTGAGTAAATTCGATTCTGTCCCTGATCGGAGATCAAGTGGTGATGTAGATTTGCAGTTCAAGATTGGTCTTTTTCTGCCGTAACTTAACTCTGGCCACAATGTTTATATATCTGCTCGAACTTTATGAAGAAAATGACTTTTGTTGTTGAAGTTCCAACTGTTTTTATTTTTTACATTTGTTTACAGCATGATGACGAAGAACAGTATGAAACAGTAAGTCAGAAGCCAGTCAGTTGTTGTTGTCTTTGTTCTTTAATGTTGCTATGAAATCACAGGAGACACTTTTGTTATTTAAACATTATTTTTTGTGTGTGTGATCTGACTAACTAGGTTAGTGCTGTCAGAACTGATCCTTCCTTGTTAATTGTAATGAAAAGTTAAGGGACTTTACTATTCTGGTATCATTTGCAATATTTACATAGCGACATCTTGCTTCAGTTGAATGATGTGTTGTCAGTTATCAATTAACAGCTTTACAGCAAAATATCTAATCCGCACTTTGGTTTGTTCCATGACAAGAGCAGAGTGCAGGCTATGGCCTGAACTGACTGGACTAAAAATCCTTCTTAATTTCCCATATGTATCTTTACAACTGTTGTTTTATCTTCGTCTTTAAGAGAAAAAACCTGCAACAAATTGTTGTTCGCCCACTGCTCACTTTATATATAATACATCTTCCATTTATATATAATACAACTTCAGTTTGTGTACTTTTAAAAACAATTGTTCATCGCCTGAGCCAAGACGGATCAGCTTTTGATTTCTCCTCATGATGTCAAGCCTACAGGTCATTAGAACTAAGTATATTATTACCGTAGAAAAAAGTCTAATTCTCCTTACTGGTACTATATGAAATGTACAGACACGAATTAAGAAGAACTTGCGTGTTGATCCATGGAAATTGTTTCTCTGAAGTAGTTTGCGTTCTGTACGTGTAGGTGAGTTTAGCTGCCACTGACACAGACAACGTTAAATACGATGAAAATATTGACGTGGATGAAGAAAGAGAACAGTAAGTGGTTATAAATAATTATATTCAACATTCGTTCGGCGACTGCAAGAAGCTTTTTTGTCATAAGCCAAATTTTCCTTCCAATGGAGGGAAGCTTCAAATGAAGAGCTGTGTAAGATAGAGCACGACAGCAAGAAGTGAACCAAATAGAAGGATGGCTTGGAGTAAGGCAGACTAAGGCAAGCAATAAACTTTTGCGTGTTGTACGGACACCGACTATTTAATTTTTTGGATTAGGGCAGTATTTTCTCGTGTTTTGAATGAAATGGCTGTTCACGCAAGAATTAATTTTGCTGAACTGTTCCAGGTTGGAGAAAATCCGTGCAGAGAGAGAAAACGAAATGTTTCCAGATGAAATGGACACGCCCATGGATCAAGCTGCTCGAGTTCGATTTCAGAGGTTTGTTCGATGTCGGCATTATTAATACTAATACTACTAAACGGCCAATGTAAGATTGCCATTGATTCTGTTCATCTTTTTCTTCTAATTAGTTAATAAATCCATATTGACACAAAAAATCAGTTAAAAAATTCGCACGTTCGCTACAAGCCCGGATCACTCATTGACTCAAAGGAGCAGCAGCAGATGGCAGATTTTTTTGCCGTTCTGGGGAAAACAGTACTGATGCTTATTTTCTCCGTATATGTACACTGTAATAAAAAGGAGGAACAAACATTGCATTAGCTTTTAAACAGAGTTCAAAGTTAACAGTATTTTTTTCCTTCGTAGATACCGTGGCCTGAAGAGTTTCCGTACTTCGCCGTGGGACCCAAAGGAAAACCTTCCATCAGATTACGCCAGGTATGGTTATTGTGGACAAAACCGAAAACACACCACAAACTGACAATGCACACAGTTAGTGTGTGAACTTGTTTTTATTATCTTCGCGCCTTTACTGTATGTAGGACTTGAGCAGAAGATTTTGCCCCACAAGCCCGGCTTATAGTTATATCTGTATGTTTGTAGAATATTCCAGTTTGAGAACTTCAAAAGAACAAAGAAGCGAGTATTGGAAGAAGATGATGTGGATGGAGCGTTGGTGAGATTAACATCTCTGTACTGAACTATAATAATTTTAATTTTTAAGATTACGACATTTTTTAATTTATAAGACATGTTTCGATGTTACTAACATCATCGTCAGTTACAGAATATTTGAAAAACCGTTAGGACTATATAACAACTAGGCGAACCATGCATAATTAATTATGATTAAGTGACAAAAATAGATTACATATTTGAGTGAGTTACAAAGTGTTTGAAAGAATATAAAGCCTAAAGCTTAAGGGACGTCATGAACTTGTTGACTTAAATTGGGCTTTTCCCAATTTATATGCACAGCCTCCTTAAGTTTAAGTTGAAATTTAGTAGGAGCGGAATCAAGGATTTTGAAACAATCCGCAATCTTACGAGTTTGAGGCTGTTGTTTTTTAATGTGTTAAGGACAACTTGAACAAAGTTCTGCGTATTACGACTACAGTCATGATTTGGTATCTTGTATATTTTTCTCGTAGCCTGGCTGGTACGTGTCCATTCATATCGCTAATGTTCCACGTGCATTTATGGGTAAGATTAACTAGTTAAGAAATTTTTTGTTTTTTTTTGTTTGTTTTTTTGATAATTCTCATGATCACAAGGTTAGCCGTCCTATCCAGAACTCAATTTTAATAATACAAGTGCTGTATAATCCCCAGCATTTCATTTCACAGCAGTCATTTATTAATGCGGTGATAAATCCTTGCTTTACTTTTTATCACACGAAACCGCTGAAAGAGACTGAGGTCGCGCCTGGTAACACGCGCCAAATATGGAAGAAACTGCTGTAGTTAGTAAGTGATTGGCTTCGGTTTTGTCTCTAGAATCAATGGAGCCCAGTTCTCCGCTGGTGATATTTGGATTACTTCCTCACGAACAAAAGGTAAGAATCAGGATTCACTGTTTTGAAAAGAACATGTTGGGTTAGACGTTCAATTTTTAACTGTTCATGTTTGTTTCTGTTTTGACAAGAGGATGGTGGGATAAACGTTCAATTTTTAACTGTTCATGTTTATGGTTTGTTAACTCAGGTGTCAGTGGTTCATTTCGTGCTCAAGAGACATCCAACATTTAAGGATCCCGTTCAATCCAAGGTGAGTCCATATTGATACAGGCCTTTACAAAGACACTGGTAACATATGCTAGTAAAGATACGATATTAAAGATCATTATAGATCATAGGCGGCAACATCTTCCACTGGACGGCAAAATATGCGTGAATAATTTTTGGCCGCAACCATGGAAATATTCTTTACCCGACTTGACATTACAATATCATTGCCCAACTCGTTTACTACATAACCCTGGCTTGTAGCTGCTACATATACGTGTTCGTGCCTATTATTTAAATCGTCCAGTGTTGATTTCTGTAGGTGCTTTAACTCGTATTGAACCATTTTTTGCCAGGAAAGACTGATTTTCCATTGCGGTTACCGAAGATTTTCAGCGTGTCCCGTATTTTCTCAGCATACATCGGGGGATAAACACAAGGTGAGACTGTTCAAAGTTGCCACGCCACATATCAGCCAAATATACGATTTGAATTCAGATAGAAGCATTATATTTATATATCAAAAAATGCACTTTCTGGAAACATTTGAGCATGAAGATTTTAATCCTCAGTTCATATCGTTCTAATATAAATGGTTTGTTTCTTAAAATATTACTATTACTAATGTTATTGTGACAATCAAAATGCTTGGCTCAGTGCCGTTACTAAATGTGAAGGGTAGAACAATTGAGTTGATATCTTGTTCTGTTTTCAGTTGGAGCGGTTTATGCCACAAGAAGGAGCATTTGTGGCCACACTCTACGCGCCTATCATGTTCCCTCCCGCCCCAGTCCTAGTCTTCACACAGGATAAACACACAAGTAAGTGACTTGAAACACGCGAAGTAAGACCAGTGCTCGATTCAAGTGCCTCTACTCAATCCAGAACCTACATAACTCAATCGTTGCGGTGAGCACTTGTTTAACCTCGCATTATTAGGCAGACTCTCCGTCAGTGAAAAAAAAAAAAACGTATTCGCTGAAATATTAAACACAAATGAGATATGATAATGAATACTTTTTTAAGGGAATTTTGACATAGGGATAACCCCTTAACTTCCTCTTCTAGAAGCATCTACTTTTTTCTCTTTATTTTTAGTTTTTTGTCGTATATCTAGTTTGCCTCTAGACTAAAAATAAAGTGAGCATTTAAGTGTATGTACTTCTCTGTTTTGGCTTATCTTAGTATCTCAATATGTTTCTGCAGGTTGCCACACCCTTGTCGCTACAGGATCGCTTTACAAAGTCGATCCCGACAGAATTGTTGCTAAGAAGATCGTGCTAAGTGGGCATCCTTTCAAGATCAACAAACGATCAGTTGTGTTACGATATATGTTTTTTAATAGAGGTCAGTACTGTTGCGGCTGTTACTAATCTGCTTACTGACAAACACAATATTTCTAATTACAAAATAAACACACTTTTTATGCGGCAGACAATTCGTTAGCTAGGAGTTTCTGTCTTGATGTTTCTCCAGATTCCCAAGAACTGAATAGCAATTGCATGTAGTGATGAGAATTAATCTTGAATTTATTTGAGTAACAGTAATCTCTAATTGATCGTGAACAATGATACAGGAGATATATAATGCATTCATTGAGTTAAATCGTAGTTAACCTTGTTCTGATTCTCGTATGTTGTAGAGGATATCCAGTGGTTTAAGCCAGTAGAACTCTTTACCAAATATGGAAGAAGGGGCCACATCCGGGAACCTCTAGGTTGGTAAAGATAATGCTGTGTTCATTGCCAAATGCTGGTGTCGTTGTAGTTGTTTTTGTTACACTACTTCCCAATGTAACTGAGTTTTTCGGTACTCCTGACAAGATTAAATTTGTTCTATTTAGGTTATACCGTTTGTCAAAAGGGTTTAGTTTTACGCAGATGATAAAAAATTTTATCTTGTGTCTAAGGCCATTTTATAACAAATTTTAAAACGAACAAAGTCGAAAACTGAAAGCAATTTCTTAAAGGAACCAAAGGAATTGTCGAAAAAAGATCCTTCAGTATTACGATGTAACTGTCAATCCAAAACAAGCTTGAAAACATGACCGTTTTTATCTATTATGACCCGTTTTCGTTGTTACCATGGTAACAATGCCTTTGTTATGGTTTCTGTCATTTGGATTATGTCTCTTAAACCAATCCACTGTTGTTGTTTGTGATCTACTCAGTAAGTTGCTTTGATTGTTTTACAGGAACACATGGACACATGAAGTGCGTATTTGACGGAGCTATCAAAGCCCAAGACACTGTCTGCATGAATTTGTACAAACGAGTATTCCCTAAATGGACATACGAGCCCGCGATATTGCCACCTCCAGCAGAAGCAGCAGGGGACACTGAAGATGCTATGGAAATATAAAACGAAAATTAAACTGGCTTCGATAAAAGTCAAGGACAGAGACGGCCAAACAACGTACAAGAAAATAATAAGGAGATCTTAGTTCTGTTATCAACACTAATTTGAAGGTCAACTCCTTCAAAGTCGCATTAGCCAGGTCTCGCTTAGTATTACACAAACTGGGTTTGGTGTTTGCTTGTTGAAAGACTACGTACTCGTTAATACCCGTGTACCCAATCAAACAGCCACAATCTTAAATAAGTTACATACGCTATATTACTTAGCCTACGACAATCGCGTGCTGAGTCACTTGCTCAGTCCGTTCTCCAAGGTAGATTTCTTTGTCCTAAAATGGGATCCATTTTTTAAGTGAATCGATCGCAACAAAGGTAAAAGAGAAAATAGGAGGAGACACGTGGGGAATGTTTTATGCCTAGCAAAACGTTTTTATGTTTTAAAAAGTTTGCCCAACTAGTGTTTTGCGAAGTTTTACATTTCTGTAGTTCAAAGTTTAAATCTTTTCTCGTTTTCTTTTGGCGTTGGTAGGATACATAAGGTAATATGATTTGAGTTAGGATAGATAAACTTGAACGCGGGTTAATAAATACAACTGACGTACGCTAACTGTAGTTGCGAAGTAACTTCTGTTAGGAATAGTGTGGCTAGGTTATTAATATGCATGTGGCGATTTAAAACGAGTTCTGTACCTGGGCTTTCGATCGTTAAGCGTCCCAAACGCAGTCTGGAGAAGCGCGTGTTTACTGTTTCTAAGTTACATGACATTTCTCTTAGCTGACTGCCACATGTACATCTTCCATATATTTTCCAACCTCGTCCCAAGAGTCCTTCAGACATCGAATTGCCTGATGCCAATTTTTCGGATTTAAGTGAATGAAAGTCTTAGAGGATGAGGTTGCCACTATTTTGAAAGAGGATATTTGACAACTTTGTCAATTAACGTGCGAATGTTTACCAGGATTTTCTAGGAAAAAAAAAAGGCAAAATAAAACGCGTCTCATCTCAAGAGCTTTATAGCAGTAACATAAGTACGTCAAAGACCGGGTTGTTTCTTTCACAATGCAGTATTGATCTCAATGTCGTAACGTCCGCTTTTAAGTCGTCTGAATTCTTGTTTTCCTACACAGCTATATTAGTACGGCTGTCGGTTTGGGGCACGTACAGCCGGCTGTTGTAGAATGTAGCTCCGGAGATGCAGGAATGTCAAAGCTGTGGCGTAGTACAAAACTGTTGCCATGGTAACACAGATAAACATGTCCTAATATGTTTCACATTTAAAGTTGTTTTGTCGGACTCCACGGACACCTATTACAGTCTACACCCTGAGGGTCATATAACCGTTCAAGAGAACTTAGAGGGTGCAAACATGGTCCTAAGAAACCACATGCTTTAGTTATCAATTGTCTTATATGGAAATCTGCAAAGTTTATTCTTGTTAGCGGGCTAAGGTAAAAAAAAAGTAAAAAAAATGCGAGGAAACTGATTGTAAACTTGTACAAACCAGTTCTGGTAGAGTGGTACCTCACAGGCTTGCAGAAATTAAAGAAAAAAAACATTTCCGTGCTCCTATAGAGTCGTAGAAACACTAGTGGATATTTGCAATTAGAAATGTTTTAGGAGCAGCTTTTTCGAGTTTCGTCAACCTTACACGGGTGTTTCTAGAACTTGCTAGGAACACGGAAAAGACTGTGAGAAAAAGGAAAGAAAGCACTCGTTTATTTCAATTATCAAAATGTAAACTCTGTTTGCTCGTGCCGCCATCACGTCATGGCAACTCGAACTTGTTATGTGTTTAGGTTTGGCTTCTGAATTTTCTTGACTTGTCAGGAAATTCTTAGAAACAACATTAAAGAAATGGAGAATTTTAACTTGAACAGGTTTATGAATGCTGGTTAATGTTTTGTCTCAAAGAGTTAAAGGTCGAAAAAGGTAAAGATAAGTTACATAGTCCCATAAATCTGGGGAATTGCTATTTATTAATTTTAATTATGCAAAAGAAACCAAAGTTGTTGAACTGATGAAAAATTAATGGTTTAGTTTTGCGTGCGATGATTCTGTGTTCAACAAAGAGTTAAACACCCTCGCCATAAAGAATAGAGAT